GGTTTTGTTTTCTTATTCATGGATCACAGAGATGAAAGCAATTATCAGCCTGATAGCCCATCTTGGTAAATGTTTCCTAATGTTTTGTCCAATTTCATGGTAAATGGGGAAGGCAGTGGAGCTTCCACTGCATCCTTTGGGATACTACTTCATAAGCTAATAATTATCTTACAAATCCATGATGCAACCAGCTCCTACCTCTCTCACTGTGGGAAGCCACATCCCCTCCAGCAGAATCCCCTTCCTTTTGTCACCTGTGCCCTCCCCATCTGCTCTCTTCAATCAGTTTCTTATGTCTTCAGTCTAATTTGAAATTAAGCCTCCATGGTGGGGCACAGGGACTTCCCTTCCCCACTCCTCCCTTGTGAAATACCATGTTCTCCTGCCTCCTTACAGAAATACTAGACTTCTCTGGCAAACTTAAAAAATATGCAGTTCAGAGTAATCTATCATACTGACAGACATGCAAGCAGATATAATATCTGCGAACTTATTTTATTTTTAATTATGCAAATCTTTATGTAAAATAGGCAAACCCATCATATCCCCCCCTAAGGCTTCTGGCCTATCCCCACAAAGCTTGAGGTAGTGCAAATGTTGATGCTCTTTGCTCAATAGCCTGCCTGATCATGTAAGATTTTATGCAAATATGCTTCAAAATGTTAAGGTTGAAAGTGTCATAGAAGTTATTTACTAAATTTAAACGTTACAAGTCCTACAATTCAGCTGGTTGCATCTGGGGCTTTGGCAACTAAGTTAGCAATAAGGCCATTGAGGGCCCTCAGACAGCATGTTTCTGCAAATAATCTTAAAAAGTTCACCCTCAGGCATACAGAACAACTATTGACTGATGGGGTGGGGAGAGGGTGTTTTGTTTTGATTTCCTTTCCTGCCATGGGAAAAGTTTGTATCAGATGGGATAAAAAACAAGGAAAGCGACACTAGCAATGCTTTAAAACAGGAGGAAAAGGCATCAAATTGGGACACTCCTCTTCACTTAGACTTAGCTTGGAGGTAGAACTGGATTTATTTTTAAATGTGTAAAAAGACAGGTAACTGTTTGCTCCTAAGAACTCCTCCCTATGTACAGCACTTCCCAGACAGCTCCAGAGTTGGTACCAATATCTGAGGCGGTAGGTTCATTCTGATACCCTGGACTTATCAGTGTTTTGCTCTTGAAGGTTTATTGCTGGCAGACAAGAGGCAATGCAGGATATTCAGAACAGTAGCAGTTGGGAGATTTTCAGGGAAAGCATCTTGAACTCCTATGTGGTTGCAAAAGGCAATTTCTCAGAAGCTGCAAAATCCTGTGCAGCACATTTGTCCTATGGGGCCAATAACCTGGCGAATGCTAGCTGCTTACACTTACTTGCTGATGAGAATCCCTCCTGTTGTGAGGAAATTTAAGTAATTTTGCAGACTAAACATGTGAATTCAGATTGAGGTAAAAACAGGAGACAAGCACAAGTTTGCTCTCATTTGAAACATGGCTGATGCTAGTTATAGTTATGAATATTTTGGGGTAACCTGCAATGCAGAATCCTGGGGTTTGCTGTTGCTTTGCGGTGTGCCTCCCCCCCCAAAAAAACTGTCAATATGCCCTAGACTGACTTGGCAGCCTGAGCTTTTCTTAGGCCACAATCCACCATTCTGAGACTGCTGTCTACTCTCTCAGTGGTTGTTTCCCAGTGGGTCTATGTTTGCAGGAAAAAAAAACCTGGAATTGGGTAACAAGCCCAAGAGACTTTCTTCCTCCATCCTGTTGCTCATTCCTACCATCTGGAATGGCCTAGCAGTGTCATTACACATGATAAGCTTCTCTTCTTATCTCACCAAGAAATAATTTAAGATGCAGCTTTCCCTCCATCTTCCTTTCTGCTTACCCTTAAAGGTCATTTTTTCTTTTGCTGTACTCTGATTCCACATTATCAACATAAACGTAATGGAGTCATATAGCTTTTATAGCAGGTACCAGAACTCCCAGTTGTCTTTTCTTTCTTACCATGGTTTGGAGGAATGCCTCTAATGAATGGGCCTGGTAGAAAACAAGGGGAATCACTGGTGCCATGTGCAACGTTACAGTCTTGCCACTTGATTTGACATTCCTTATTCTGAATAAGTTCTGCCACTGCCTCCATATTACTGAAACCTAATTTCCTGTAGGAAAAGATGCTCTCTTGCAATACTGTTCTACCAGCTGTGAATCTCTCTCCCATATACGGAAATCAGAAGGGGCAATGCATGGGGCAGAAAGTCTGCAGTTAGTTGCCTTTCTCTGCATTGTCATTGCATGCCAGTGAAACATTTCCTTTCAGCCAACGTTTTTCATAGTGAATATTACAAAATGCTTTGCAGATGAAGTCAGTCATATATGCCAAAGAGAATAATAAAGGCTTTAAGGTGATTATTAAAGATAGGTGACTCAGTGGCTCATGGGGTGTTACAGAAAGATGGGATAGGGAAAAAAAAATGAAAAGAATAATCTTTTAAAAGGTTACTGACAACCAAAGAGCAAATAATACAGTAGACAAGTTCACGTAAGCTTCTACTAAGGGAGATCATTTAGGCGAAGCATATCAGAAAAACCTGCTTAGTCACTAGCTTTACAACAGTAAGTTATTCAGGAAATGAACCTTACCAAGCTGAAAAACTGAAATGTCTCTAAGGTGCCCTCAAACAACTATAACTGAGAATGAAGAAAGGATTTATTTGTACTCCAGAAACAGCTGTTACAACCTGGAATAGCTAATCCTGCCACATACGTATTTTGGAGAGCAGAGTATTATTTTTAAAAACATGTCCACTTTTAGAGGAGCACATTTATTCTAGTAAGCCCATTTATAACTGTCAACTTCTCTTGACAAACACAACAAAAGCTAAAGCTCCATGGTCTTACTGGTATGAGGACCTGCTGTTCAGGAGCAGGAGAGGATACGGGAAACATTTGTGCAACAATTGCTGTTTGAGCTCCCTGAGCCAAACTCTGCTCTCTTGAACTGCTCTATGGGGTGATATAGAGTGGTGCATTTGCTTAGTCACTCCAATGAGCACAATCCAGAGTAAAAGAGATTTGGATAGTATGGAGTTTGGATATAGCTCAGGAGACCTCCATCCTCAAAGGGAGGGATCGAGCGAGTGAATAAACCTTGGCTCCAGAGTCTCTGTCCAGAGGTCCTCAAAGGTCAGGGCTAAGGGAAAAGCAGTCGCCCTTGCAGGACTCCTCTTGAGAATATAATCCTTTTTTGTGCTGCTGAAGATCCTCTCTTTACCTGTACGACCCTGCAGCAGCAGGACGGCTCCAGCAGCCCATGTTTCGGCGGTGCACCTCAAAATACAACTATGCTGCAAAAACCACACTTCTGGCCTTAGCACAGGCACGCTGGCCTAGCTCTAGATCTGCTCAGCATCGCCCGGCACGCCGATGCCACCCCTCTCCTGTCCTACGGCACGCTCTCTCTCCAAGCCAGCCTGGCTCCACACGAGAACTGCTGCTTTTCAATGACCTTTTGGAGTCTCTTAATGGGGTTGCACCAGCACACATGTGGATCTAAAATTTCTCCTTGCTTAGGTAACACTGGACTTTTTCAGAAAAAGCTGCCTTCCTCTAGCTAAAGCTTAGATCCGCATGAACAAAGCGTGTATTCTGCTAGTAAAAAACCAACGGCCAGGCCGTGATAACAACTCAAACCGCGCAGGCGGGGAGGCGAGGGCGCCCAGGCGCTGACATCCCGACAACGCTCCCGCCCGCCCCCCCGGCGGCCGGACTCGGGCACGAC